AATTCACTGGGTCTCCATCAGGGGTGGGTTTCTCACCCCGTTCCAACTGGTTCGGTTGGAACGGGGCCGGTGGCGTCCTCGTGCACGTGCGTGGCGCACGCATGCGTACTAGCGTCTGTGCGATGCTCCAGCTGCTCCTGGAGGATCGCGCAGGCGCTGTATGCGTCCTGCGTATGCGTGGAAGCGCAGAACTCATCAAAACCGGGTAAGCAACGCGGGCGGGCGGGTGGGCCCTTCGCCGTTCCCGGAAGTTACTTACTTCCGGGTTCGGCGACCAACCGGTTCGCGGGGACCGCCATGAACTGGTTGAAACCCACCCCTAGTTCACATCCAAGCCTTGTTTATATCAGTCTGTAAGGTCAGCTGACCTCATTTCAGGTGCTTGGCAACACAGCCAAATTTATGGTCATTTTCAGGGTCCTGTGGTCATGTGACTATGCTTTATAACAGTTTTCTTGAAAATCAGTTACTTCCAATATTCAGCAAAACTGCATCAAACTGCATTTGGGAACTGCAATGAGTTTGCTCAATGTAAGGTGACCAGACGTCCCGCTTTTGGCGGGACAGTCATGATATTTCACAATTTGTCCCGCGTCCCGCGGCATTTTTAAAAAGTCCCGATTTTTTAAAAAAAATTTAATCAAGGAACCCCCCCCCCCCACCGGTCAATGGTGTCCCTCTTTACCAATGTTAAAATCTGGTCACCTTAGCTTAATGAGAACAGCATTCATTTTTTCACCACAGGGTTCACCATTAGAAAAAGGTGGATCGATTGGATCGGTCACATGACTGACCCAATTTACAACGGTCATGACATTTGACCATAATGGGCAGGCTACATTACCATTACAGTTATACAATGAGGACTATCTATAAATAGAACCTAATAAAAACGAATTATTCTATTTGCTCTCTTTACAATGTTCATGGGTTGACTCCCAAAGTTTTTCCTCCTAAAGATGTGCGCTGACATATCTCATTTTTGTCTAGTGGATGCCACTTTTGGCAATAGTGAGGACCAAGAAAAATGAAAAAAAAAAAAGATTTTCCTTTTTATATAGCAGGTAAACTGCACCAAAGGTTACCAATCCTTTGCGCCTATCTGCCTTATGTATGTATGCATGTATGTATGTATGTATGTATGTATGTATTCCTTCCTTCCTTCCTTCCTTCCTTCCTTCCTTCCTCCCTCCCTCCCTTCATTCATTCATTCATTCATTCATTCATTCATTTCTATAGCTGCTCAACTCAATCAAATGATTCTTTTCAGGCCATCCTCAGTAGCCCTACCTCTTACATTTCATCCTTCCTTCCCAATTTTATGTTCCAACTATTACCATAAAATAAGCCATGAACCTAATGTTATCGTTCCCTTTCATTTTCTCTCCTAAATGTTTATTTGTACTGGAACTAAGTTTGCACTTTGTCTACATGGAGCTGCCCCTGAAAAGCGTTCGGAGACTACAATTAGTCCAGAACGCAGCCGCGCGAGCGATATTGGGTGTACCAAGAT